CATAAATATCGCATAATTTGAAATCATCACATCGCATAGCAATGCTTTTCAATGCGCATAATCTGGGGTCTCTATTGTAAATACCTTAAATAATGCTTTACTATAGTGCTTTATGAATAGTCTTAGCGAGGATTCTGTTTCAAAACATTTATATTGTTACATCTGAGCTAGATGATTGTTTGGATTAATAAATGCAGATTAATTGGTTTGTAAAAAATGATGAACTATTATTAAATATTTATCAACAATTTGACATTTCTGAAACTTTCACAACTTTCATTACGGACCGAGATTTATTTGTCCAGCAAGAAAGAACTTACGTCAAAAAAAAACGCATAATTGTGGAATAAATGATACTAAAAACCAGGAAATGAGAGTAAAAAAAGTGGAAGTGTTTCAGCTACACCTTTGGCCTTACAAGATATAATTTCGAGAACTATGCGTGACTTACTTAAAAGAACCATGTTAATATTGATCACATCATATATTCTTGATTATGACCAGAGCTATTCAATCTACAAATTTAAAATATAAAATCTTAAAATTGAATATAAATGTGCAGATTTGCAGCAACTTTCAAATGAAAATTTTGTTTATTCAGGTACAACATAAATATACAATAAATACAGGTAATCAAACTGTGTACGTACGTACTTATATTTCGTACGTACGTACATACGAACTCACGATTCGTATAAGTTCTTATTCTAATAATTTGTAATTGCTTGACATTTATGCGTAATAATTTTCATACATGGCTGAATTTAATCTGTTAAACAGGTGCATATCCATAGAAAAAAAAACCATTACCTCTATAGTTAGCAAGTTTAGACTTTCAAAGCGAGCGTAAGAATATTTGCAATCTCAAAATGGATAAAACAAATCCATTAGCATAATTCGCTGTAATATAAATTATTGTCATTGCAATTTTTTTTTTAAAATCTGGAGAATAGGATCAAAACCCATTCTTGTGGCTGAATAGGGATAGTATATTATGTACCATTCCGAACCTATGAGATAACTCGGTGATAGATTGTCAAAGATATAACTTGAAAGGTCCCAAAAAATTGCAGCAGGATATTCTTGTATTTCTCTCGATAAATGATTATTTTACACATTTTACTTGATGTGTGATTGTATTCCTAAACGTGGAAGAATCAAGGACTGCAAATTCGTAAAATTGTGATGCATTGTAAAGTGCCAGGAAACATGAACCCCCTCAACAATTAGATCATGTATCGGTATTCAAATTATACATTAGTCATTCTAATGTTGTTACACCTCTGAATCTATAAAGTTTTAAATTTCTTTGTATAACTTTGTTTTTTTTTTCTGGATTTTTTTTTTTTTTTTTTACGAGCTTAAATTCAGGTAACTACCCTCCTGAACCATTAGTCATTTAGGATTTATTGTTCCCTAAAAAATTTTTTTTGCGCCTGACGAAAAAAAAAGGACCAACTTATTTAGCCCCATTAAGAAAGATGTACATTTGTTTAACATTGATTTACATAATTGATGAATCACATTGCGTGTACGGGTATTGCCCAAGTTTAAAAATAATTCATATATATACAATAGAAGCATGACATGATTAAACATCTTTCAAGCTTCAATCATTTCTTAAATATATTACTCTTTCAAATTCTATCCTAATTTTTTTTTCTTTTTTTTTTGGTTTTTTTTTCTAGCTATTTGTTAATTATCTTTTATACCGGGTAAATATGGCATTAAATAAGTCTTTAAAAACTGGTCATTTATATTCTGGGAGTGATGGTGATAATTCAATTAATGAAAATAATGATAATATGGATATTGATGAAATTAATACATCAAAATCGACTATTGAAGATTCTAAAATGAAATTTAGTGCGGTAAGATTTAGGACAAATACTCTAAAAACTTTAGAAATGTTTATAATATCAAAGATTATAAAATAATTCCTAAAATTTTAATTATCATCAAAATTAACTCTGGAATGTGTCACCAAAATTTATATATAACATCAGATTATTCGTAAAGTTGTTGATAATGATGTTAAGCGAGCAGAAACTTCTCTTAAGGCTCTTTGTGATGTAATGCCTCCACAGTTGCGTTTAATAATGAACGGTTCTTCTATTAATGAAGTATTCGGTAATGTCAACATGAAGATCCAACTTTCTAATGAACATAAAGAACGAAAGATGAATGATTCCTATAGTTTTGTTCCTCCTCCTTCAACCATTGCCAATGAAACAAATACAAACAAAGAAATAAATTATACTCGGGAATCAAATGATTTATGGCACAATAATATAAATCATTTAGATAATCGGGGTAATAATGATCAAGTTAATAATGATCAAATTAATCATGATCAAATTAATAATGATCAAATTAATAATGATCAAGTTAATAATGATCAAGTTAATAATGATCAAGTTCAAATAGATGAAAAAGAAATTGACAAACAAGAAGAGCTCTCAACAAAGTCTGTACATCGTAATGACCATATTCAATCTGAACAAAATAAACCTATAGAACCGACAAATCATGAAAACTCTTCCACTACAGTCTTCTCAAACAAACGAAAATCCACACAACCTAGGAAATTTATCATCGAACATCATGAAACTGAAAGCAGGATCATTCGAAAAAGAGCTCGTCCAAACATTAAAAAGAGGAAAGATATCATTTCGAGCGATGAATCTGAAAATATGCAAACTTATTCAGTTGACGATCGGGATCAAATTAGTCAGCATAACACTGAAGAGTCCTCAGATGATGAACCTATCACTTCTTATAAACATATAAAATTGTCTACTACTCCTTCAATAATTGAAAATCAAGACTCCTCTAAACCGAAAGGACGTTATTCGACTAGAAAGTTAGCAAATCCAATCGTCAAAAAAGGAAAAAACTCCATCGATTCTATAAATTCTGATCAAATTAATCTGTTACAAAATGGTTTGAGTAAACCATCGATGAAAGCCGCAAGAAAATTCGCTGCTCCTGTACCCAAACCTGCTCCTGCAAAACCACAACGACCTTTAGGTTCTTTTGGTTATTTTCGTAAAGAGATGTTCGATAATCGTGATTCTATGTTAATTGGCCTCCCGTGGAGAGAATGTATAAAAATCGTAGCACAACGTTGGAACTCATTAAGTGAAGAGGATAAAGAGGTGCATTAATTTACTTTCAAAATTATTTGTTAAAATTATTTAAAATTATTTGTCAAAATTACTTATCAATTTGGTTTATTAAAATTAATAAGCCTTATAATGAACTTCAACGCGTTGCAAGCAAGAGATTTAAAGTGGAGAATCGTGTATATCTTGACTATTTAAAGGAGAATGGATTAGAGGAAGAAAAAAAGTGTAAGATTTCCGAAAAAAACACTAGCAGACACACAAATGAAAGCAAAAAGAGAAATATTATAGATGGCTCTGAAGACAGGAAGCCACGTAAAGTTTCAAATAATTCTTTGAACAAACCATCGCCAATCTCAAAATCAAGAACTACCGCGAGTAAAAATACTATTCGTGCTGGCGCAGCAAGTCATCCTCGTAAATCTGGTGTGACTAAAATCTTTATCCCTTTTGTTCGTAAAGACTAAATATATTTGTGAGAAATTGTGGGAAACAACAATCGGACAATGCTTCAATAAATCTCCTGAAGAAAGCACTATGAATCAATCAGTTTAATCACCTGATATTTTTGATGCTTTCGATACTTCAAGCATTTACGTAAGTCAAAAATACATAAGTAATTTCATAAAAACGCTATTCATTAAGTTTATAGCGTGTAAAAAGAACGTAATAATAAAATCCGGATTATCTTAGAACTATGTCATAGTTCTAAAAAATTAGATTATATCTTTCTATCTAGTTGGATTTCAATACATATATTTAGAAACTCGGCAACTTCGATGATTTCTTTTGAATTACTAAAACATCGACTGCATTGGCGTGATGTAACTCGGACATCATTTTGTGGGATTGTATATACGGTGTATTATAAAAAATTTTAAATAATTTTTCAATCTCCCCTTTTTTTTTTAAAAAAAAAACATACATTTCTAACCATGTAAATAATATATTCTAAACTATATAAATTTAGTTAAATCTAATTGAGATTTTTATTTATATATATATATATATAGTTTATTATAGAATTGTTATAATATTACCCTTAATATATAGGATGAAATATATGCAACATACTGTATCAATTACTATTGCTAAAAAAAAAATAATTTAGCACAAAAATAATAATTTAGCATAAACAAAATTGTTAATGTGAAAAAAGAACTATTTTTATAGACTACTACTACCGTATACAAGATTCTTTAAATAATAACGTAAGAATAAATTTTCAAATTTTAGTTGTAAAAAAAAGTTTATTAAAATGAAACTATGTTTTAAAGTATCTATATAGTACGTAATAAATTTTTATTCTACGTATTAATTTTTATACGTAAGATATGATATGATTTAATACTGTGCATTCACTTGCATTTGCCCGCATTCACTAAATTTCATGATTTTATCTAGATCTACTATTAATTTAGTTTTCTGTTTTCTGTTTCAAATTATATAGTGAAATTAGTGTTAGCAAATTCACTACATAAACAAGTTTGGAAACTCGTTTAGTTTTAACCCTAACACTGCCTAAAATAACGCCAACGCTTTAACTATAATCAATCTTACGAATTTTGATTGAAACAGCACTTCCCTAGCGCTGGAATACAACATGCATAAAATATAAATTTATTGATCGGCTCGATTATCAACTCACCGTTTAGCACTGCTTACAGTACCCCAGGGTCTTATTCAATTAGTATCCAGGGATGCTTTGTGTAGAATGTGTTCTATGTTGGATACAATTTATATGAAAAGTATTAGACTAATATAGCTGTATCTCTGTGTATCATCCAAGAATTGGATTGATAGGCATGATGAAACCTGGGTCTTAATTCCCTGGGGATATTATTTTATGGGGGATATGATAAACGATAACTGTTTTCAGACAGCCTCATGTAATTTAGTGATCGGGATGTTGCTCAATTATTCAATTGAGGTAGTTCTTTAACAATTTCGATTTTGCGAAATGCAGATTTTAAAAGATGGTTATCAGGTGTATCGTTGCATAATCGCTTATCGTACTATACTGATAATATTCCACGTAAAATACCCGGATATTTTATATAGAATATATATTTAGATTACTTTCATTAAGAATAATACTCGGGTTTGATTATCTATTTACTAGTTACGTTTCAATTGCGCTTTATTTTATAAACCGGTTTGACGTAACTTTTTATTTATTGTCGTTACTATCACTGATACGTGACTTAATTCTGCGATACGTATATACTTTTTGTTTAAATTTGTGGCTTTCTGTGACGATGACTAAACCAGATTCTGCGAATTTCTATGGTTGGCTGGTTTTTTTTTTAAAAAAAAAAATTCTGCTGTGTTCTGTGAAACAATTTTTTTAGCGCTAAGGTCCGGCTGCACCTCGATTATGGGGCAATATGTACGAAATTATCGTATCCATCGTTATCGATGAATTTCGGTACTTATTTACGTCACTAACTTCCTTTTTTTTATATTTCTATTTTTTTTCAGTAATCTTGCCTTTATTATTTTAATCAAAAGTATCAGAATCTTATATTTATATTAAATATAATTTTTTATACTATAATTTTGTACTAATAAAGACTTACTTAACTATAAAGCCCTGATGTAACCCATCTAAGTAGCTATTTGCTTTATATTAGATCTTTAACTTTTTAAAGATTTATTTTCTTTGATCATAAGTTGGGGCTGCTAATCTTGTCAAATTTGCCTGTTTTTGCATTACTGATCTATATGAACTAGTCTAACTTAATATAGTATTTAATTAGGTTTTGATTATTTTCTTGTGCCAGGCTTAGGATTCACTTTTTTTTTCTTTTTGGGCTTGTTTTTGCGTTTCCTTCTCAATGATTCTGTTCTTTTTGTTTTTAAATTCCTGTATTATTTTTTTTCTTTTAATTTCATTTATGATTTTTTTTTCTTTTTCTAATTATTAACTAGTTCATATTTGAAATTCTATATATATTCTCAAAACCTTTTATTGAACTTTTTTTTTAACTATATCAAGTATTTTTTGTCATATATTTTTATCCTCTATCCTGTTTTTAATCTTCTATTTTTTGGTTTTTATTATGAGGTTTCTTATTATATATTTTCTTGTTTTTATTCTTTCTTCTTATATTCTTCTAAAAATATAATCTTAATTTCTTTTTGTTTGTAGATCTTTTTTTTAGATTTTTTTTTGAAGTATTTTGGAACCTTTCTGGCTTGTCTTATCTTCTATGATATCTCAAATATTTTAATATTTTCTGTATTAAACAAGATAATCTATATTTTCTGTTTTGTCTTCACATATTATATATGTACTTGTTCTGTAAACTTCAGGTTTTTTTGTATTTAATTCTGTTAAAATTAGTAGTAGTTTACTTAGATATTTGCTTGAAATATCTACCTTTTGTTCTTTTCTCTACTTATATATCTCCTTTTATTTTTCTCTATCTATCTTCAAATTTCTTTTCAGTCTAGTTCCTTTTTTTTACTATTTGTTATTTTTATTTAAATTTGTTTACTCTATATCTAATATAGAAATTATAATTTTATTTACAGCTTCTCTTATTAGGTTATCTACTATAATGTCTCTCTATTTTGCTAATATTTATTTTAATTTTGTTTATAATCACTTTACAAATATTATTTTCTGTTTCTTTGTATTTTTTTTTACTAGCTTATTTGTGAGATTATTGTATATATTCTTGCTATATTTTTTTACTTTTTTGAGTTATATTTTTAAGTTCTTTATTCTTCAAATTTTTTTAATTTACTATAAGGGATTTGTATTTTTAAGTTTCAATACTTTTTTCTCTTTTTTATATTATCTTTATATTTGAGTATTTGTATAGCTACAAGATTATTAATCTATATTATGATTTCTGTTTTTTCTAGTACTATTAGTAAAGATATCTATATAATACTTAACTTAGCTCTTGTTAACAAGGACTAATCTTCTAATATACAGCTAAATCCTGTTTTTACTTCTTTATTTACTTCTTTATAATTGATAATTGCTATTCTATCGATATTTTTTGTGATATTTTGTTTTCTTCATATAGTAATTTGTTTGTATAAAAATTAATCTTTTTTATGTTCTGTAGTTTATAGGCTATTAACAAGAATTCTTTTTGTATATCACCTTCTTCTACTTAGGTTTTGATTATTTCTTTGATTAATAATCTTAGCTAGATTCTTTCTTTTAGTTTCTAGCCTTGTATTTTCTTTTCTATTTTCTTTTTGTTTTTTTTTTTAGCTTAATGTTTCTAGTCTAAGTTTAATTTCATACTCTTCTTAGATGGTTGTTGACTTTTTAATCTAACTTCTCTTTAATATCTTCACTTATTTTAAAATCTTCTTGTGAGTATGCAGTAATCATCTTTCTCTTTTTGTTATTTCTGTTATAACCCTTGTATTGTTTAATTCTAAGTTTACTATTTTTATTTATTGTTTCTCTTATCTAATATTCTATATTATATATTTTTTTTTCTTTGCTATACTTTTTGATAATCTTTTTAACTCCTATAATGTTTTTGCTTTTTTCTAGTAAAATCTACTTTTTTATTTTTCTGTTAGATCTGATTTTAGTTAGTATTGCTTTTATGCTTAATATATTTGTTTTGTATCTTTTATACTTCTCTTTAATTGTTCTTGTTTTGTTACTTTTTAATATTTTTTCTTCTAACTTTTAAAACTATTTTGCATTCTTTTTTTTGTTTTTGTGCCTTTACAAATTTTTATTTATTTTTATATAATTATTTTTTTACTATTGTAGGTTAGTAGTTGTTCTAAAATAAAAATATTATAGTTTTTGTTATCTATAGCTTCTTAGATCAAATTATACCTTTTTAATCTTAGCTATATAGCTTTCTCTATTTCTTGCTTGTTGTTTATTCTGACTAGCAGCTTTGTAAAATAGTATACAATTTGTTTTTATTATATTGTCTAGATTTCTACTATTCTTTTATAAATTATCAAAAAGTTTGAAGTTGTTAGTATTCTTGCTTTGTTCTTAAAAATTTTTAATATAAGATTTTGTAGCTAATTATATTAGTTTTTAGATAAGATTTTTAGTTATGCTTTAAATTCTACTCTCAGTAATAGAACCATATTGTTTATATATATCATATATGTTAAAAATACTTTCTTTTTGCTGATATATCTTGTAATCATATATACTTCCTTTTTGATGATCTTCTTTATTTGGTTGCTTTTGTTTTTTGCTATAAGCTATATATTTAGAAATCTTATAAGGTTTTTTTTTCTCTCACAACTTCTTTGTTTAGTTTGAAATTAATTTCTATATTTTCTTTCTTTTTTTCTTTTTTGAAATTATAGCTAAAAGTTCAAATTTTTTTAGATTTATTTTTATATTATTGATTTTATAAAATTCTTCTGCAATTTTAATTGTTTTTTTTAGATTTTTTTAGAGCTTGCTATATATATTATATTATTTGCATATACTATTACTTTTATTTTTAAACTTTGA